GAAATTGAGGATCATCCATCTCATTCGTGATGGTGACTTTATTGGAAAATAAAATAACACATGAAATGATGAACTGAGATGCCCCTAGTCTTTATTCTGAATGACTTGATAAGGCTAATTCCAGCTGTCAGACAATTGTTAGTCGGTATACTAATCTGAGTCATCCTCACGGTATGTCATATCGCTTTAGCTGAAAAATGATCTCTTACAGCTGGTATCCTTTTCATCCCTGGTAAGAGGGACTGACCTCTTCTTGTCCTTTCCTTCATTTCCCTTCCGTGTATTCATGGCATCTTCAGCGTTCATGTGTTTCTGCGCTCTGATCAACAAATCTACCATGCTGGTGGGAAGTTTTTTAGATAAGGAGAACACGAATCTAGAGGTTTGGAGTCCTCCTATGAAAGCGGTCAAAGCCACCTTGTCGTCCACCTCTTATATCTGTAACATCTTTGTGTTGAATCAGATGATGTATTCTCGGATCGACTCTCTCTTTTGTTGCTTCACAGTAAGCAGGTAGGTGGCCAGCCTCCTATACCTCTGACCAGCAATGAAGTGGCTCACAAATTGCTTACTCAGTTTTTCAAAGGTGTTGATGGTTCCTGGCTTTAGCTTGTTGAACCAAACTCTTGTTAATCCCTTAAGTGTAGTGGGAAAAGCTTGGCACATGATTTCATCTGGCACAGCGTGTAAATGTATAAGAGCTTGAAAGGTCTCCAGGTAATCGAGGGGATCTTTGGTCCCATCGAAGCTTTCGAACAAGGGCATCCTGAACTTGCTAGGCAGGGGGCATTTCATAACAGCGGGGTTGAATGGCAAGTTGGTCTTCTACACCAGGTTATCTATGGCAGTAAGACCTTTCCCTTTCATAGCCTGCATTACATCTTCCATTTTCGCCTTGAGATCCTGTATCTGTAGGTCAAAATAGGTAGCTTTCTTTGTCTTTTCCTTAACACAAAAGGTTGTGCCTGTTTGAGACTGAGGATTCTGCGGAGGCGGGGAAGGAGGTTCTCTGTGTCAATTTCTGACTTGGCTTTGTTTTGCCTCGAACTTATAAGAAGGATTATTTTCTCGGTCCTCCTCGTGTTGTCCCCCATCATTTAGATTGGGAGGATATGGGTCGGACAATTCTTGTTGAGGTGGTGGTCCCACTAGGATAAGATGTTACAGGATCTCTGCATTTTGTTGGATTAACTGGTCCATACCCTGATTCAAAGTTTGGACCTATAGTTCTAACACTGCAAGTCGTTTCTGGTCATTCGGGATGTCTGGGTGTTCACCCGACCCTTCTCTTTGACTAAATCCCTGCGACGATGTTTCTGTTCCAGTTACCATATTGGACCACAAGTGCATATACCCAACTGAGTAATTAATTTAAGGGAATCGTCGGTATCCACAGACGACGCCAACTATTGAGGGTGAAATCCACGTGGTCCGATACGATACCATTTCCTGCAAAGAAGAGAGTAGAAGATCGATGAATCTTGACAACACCGGTGTGGTGCCTGCTAAGAGCTCTCCGACGATCAAGTCAGTCACCAGAGGTCTAAGAGAAAGGCAAGGATTTAATAATAGTTTTTTGCCATACCTTTATTGACTGGTAGGATCTCATTCTTATAATTGCTCTCCCTCAGTTCGTTTGCGGGATCAGAAGAGATCCGCTTGTGCGAGATCAGAGGAGATCCGTTTGTTGCCAGATTTGTCGGGGATATGATTTATCCCTTTTGACTTCCTCAAATTGTACCAAGGTTATCCTTACCCTGTTGAACAACGTCATCTTTCATTATCCTTGATAATGAAATATTATCATTCTTATCCAATGGAAATATCATCATTCGAAAGTCGAAGAGATCTGGTTGTTAGTTAACACTTAGTTGCCTCTATCGTTAGGTCAAGGTAGGCTAGGTTTATTTTTCCCTGTCACATTTTTTTCAGAAGTTTACGTAGAATGATTTTAGGCTGAATGGACCAAGGAATTCAAGTCTGCCAAACTTGAACCGTTCAACCCCTCTAAACCGGTTCAAGATGTCAAGATTAGCTTCGAAAAGTTTCTGCCAATCTTGAACCGATTCAGCCCCTCTTAACTAGTTCAAGGTGTCCTGATTAGTTTCCAACTTTCAGTTTCCTGTAATACCCCGATAATTTAAACGATTTATTAATTGAAATTAATTGATTTTATTTTATTTTTAAATAATTTATTTTATTTAATTGAGTGCTTAGATTAATTATTTTATTTTAATTAGATTTTATTTTGTGATTATATTTATTGAATTGATGTGTGTGTGTTTGATTATTGATTGAATTATTGGCGTGTTGATTTTATTGGTATGATGTGACTTGGTTGTAATTTCTTGTTTTGTTTACGTGCTTCATTTAATTAGTTATTTTAATTTAATTATTTAATTTATTTAAATTAATTGGATTTGGGCTTAAGGGAAGTTAGACCAAAGGATGTGGTCTTGGGCTTGAAGGAAGCCTTGTTGGGTTAATTAATAAGGCCCATGATTATAAAGATATTTAAATAATTATCTTTGCACAATTATATATATATATATATATATATACATATAATTATATATATATATATATATATATATATTGATATATGTATATACGTATATGATTTAATTAGTTAAGGATTAGTATGGAAGGAAATATACAAATATTTATTATATAATATGTGTGCATATATTTTATATTATTTGATAATTCTTATTTCTTTTATTTGGTAGTCCTATTAGGACAAGGATTTGGATTTTAATGTGTATAAATTATACACATAAGGCTTTAGGGTTAAAGTTTTACACGTTAGAAAATAAGTGAGAGAGAAGAAGAGAAGGTTGACAAGGAGGAGACCGGATCTGAAAAAGAGGACATCGGAATTGGAAGAGACAATCAAAGTTTGAAGCATCAGTTTCATTTCGAAACCTTCAGGCGAGTTTTTTTCTATCTGACTTTTAGAACTCATAAGAATTTCACCTTGAGTATCAAGGCTTTAATTTATTTATTTGTTTAAAAATCATGGTTAGATAGGAATAATTAAAAGCATAAACTAATATGTTTGATTTTTGGATTATTAAATTTTAATTAATATATATATGTGTTGCATATATTTTATTAATCAATTTATAGGGTGATCTATGACCCAAGTGGGTTAATTAGGGTTTCTAGAAGTTGTTAGATTTTTCTAGAATTTTCTGGGATTATTTTGTATTTTCTGATTATTTATTTAGAATTTTTTTGTTAAATATTTATGTAAAATATCTATGCAAAATACATATACTACGTACATAAGAAGCTTCAGTAATTCGACGCATCAATAGTGAATTAATTCGGTGTGGGCATATGCATGGGAAGATGGTGCACACGCCAATCAGGACCATTAGATTAGTATAAGTTTCAGTAGAATGATCTGGTGTTTTGCAGCGTATGTAATTATGGTGCGTATGGGAATTAGAACCGTGGATGGGGTTTGGTCATAGGTAGATTGATCTAGTGTAGTGCAGACCATGGAGAATTAGTGCGCCCACAGATCTGGAGCATTGATGGAGGAGAAATAATCCGGTGCGGTTGAGCTCACAGTAGCAATTGAGCTCAGCTTATTATTTTGCTTATTTTATTACTCGAAATTTAAACAGTCATAACTTAGTCATCTTAAATCCAAATTAAGTCATTCTAGAGCTCAAATTTAAGGATTTTTCGTCCTCTTTCCAATGGTACCAATTTCATTATCAGATTCCCATCATACTATGATATATTTATGTCTTAGTAAGACGGTATCATAAAATTATTTAAACCGAGATGGAGTATTTATGGGAAACTATTTCTGACAATGTTTAATAGTATTTAAATTGTGTAAATATAATTAAATTAATTTATTGTTATAGAAGGAAGTATATATATATATATTGATATAATTATTTATATATATATGTATATATGGTTTAATTGTTTAGGATAAGTATGGAGGAATGTGTACATATATATATATATATATATATATATATATATATATATATAGATATATATGTATATATATGATTTAAATAATCAAAGATTATTATGGATAGTATTATACATATTTATATATTATATAATATATATGTATGAATATATATATCATTTAAGATGATTAATATTATTATTATTATTTGATATATCTGGATGGACTGGTTATTTAATTAGGGATGTGCTTATAATCTGCATGAGATATCTATGTATAAATTAGCTATCGTTGAGTCTACAATTTGTATATGGATGAGCTGTAATAGGCATAAATATATTGCCTAAGTGTTTGTATGAATAAAATACATACACAGGAAGCATAGATGAGTTGTTAGTTTATTAGTATAAATATATATACTTGTAGAGGCATGGTTGAATTGCCAATGTATAAATAAATATACTTGTGGAGGCATGGTTGAATTACCAATGTATAAATAAATATACTTAAAGGAGGTATGGTTGCATTGCCAATATATAAATAAATATATTTATAATGGCATGGTTGATTTACCAAAGTATAATTATATTGCTATGTGTTAAATGATTAAAATATATCATCTATGGTTATTGTATGTATAAGTCAGATTAAGATTAGATATTCTTAAATTAGAATAGTCTAGTACTTACAAGTTAGTGTATTATTTTATACATATTAATAAAATAATACTGGAGGTGACATGAATGATTTGTCAAAGCCTAAATATTGGCTGTGTGATTTAAATACTTAAAATCATTATTGGTTTTGGAATTAAATATAATGTTCTTTTAATTATATTTTATTGTTTAAATTATTACATTGATGTCTATGATGAAATTAAGATTAGAGGAGCTTCTTTAAAATAAAATAAAAAAAAGTATGGATTGAACTAGGTATGATTATTATTTAATCATTGACAATGGTTTTGGAATTAATGCACCTAGGTATAGATGTTATTGTTATACTGTATATAATTTTTTATATATATATATATATATATATATATATATATATATGTATATCATGGTATATTAAGGTTAAAACTTTATTAGGTTTGGTTTTGATCAGAGATGATCTACTTATTGGTTTTCAGAGGTCTGGTAGAGAGAACTTGCTCGTAAGGTTTAACCCACGATTTATTTTTCAGGTTATTAGAAGTTCCTATCTCGAGGTTGAGGATCCGCAGTTGGGAGACTATCGTTCATCTATTCATCTTGTTTACTATTAAGTAGTGATGAGCGCTGAAAAGTGCGTATTTAAACCCCTTAAGCTTAGGTGTTCAAGGACCTTTATCTATCTTATTTTCCCATTTTGTATTGATTTCGTGTTATTTCCACTTTCAGGTACTTATCCCCAAAATAAGCTAACTCAGCCAAATAAGAGCAGAAATGAAGCAATTCTGGGATGAATCAAAGAAAGGAGCATAGTAAAGCAAAAGGAAGCAAATGGTGGAATTTCAGCAACTTCGATCGATCTCAAGAAAAGTTTGATCGATCCAACTTCCATCGATCTCAGCACTTCAAGATAGATTCAAGCCATGATGTCATTTTCAGAGATCATAAAAGTTCGATCGATCCAACATCATTCTCTAATCGATCAAACTTTCTTATCCTTATCCATATGCCGGATCTTATCCTGCTGTACCACCCTACCAACCACTTTTATCCTTTTCCCAAAAACATCTTCAAAATATCTCAGATTTGTTTTTATCCAAAAAGACGCCGCCATTGAGGATCGATCCAACTTTAATTCGATAGATCTCAGCCATGTTCGATCGATCTCACCACAAGTTCGATCGATCGAACTTCCTAAATCCCAAGAAAAATCCAAATTCCAGCTCATTAAAAGTTGTCTCATATCCAATCATTAGAGGATTATTGGTGTACGAGCCCAGCTCATTTGGGGTGATTTTTGACCTACCTATATAAGGAATATGAGCCACTTTTACACATATACACATACTTAGAGAAGATAATACTTAGTGAGGAAGCAAAGGAAAGGAGGAGGCTAGAGACACCATTAGAGACTCTTCATCAACCAAGGAGCAGATTTCTTCCATGGAGCTTGCCCTTGAGGGTTGGAGGACATCATCCATGAGTGGCTAGACATCCTCTTGGGGCTAGAGTTAGCCCTAAGCATGCTTTCTACTTCTTGATATATGTATTTTTGAGGGGATTTGTATTGTGATTCATGTTTTGACACTTTTATATATATAGATCTTGTTTATTCAATGATTTGTATAGTTTAATGCTTCCAATTGATCATTTCATTCTATCCATATGTCTATGTATGCTAGAATAGATGTTCATGTGTTTGTCTCTATTTCTTGTGTTATTAATGCATATCTATGTATATTAATGCTCTAGATTTAGAGATTGTCAAGACATAGTGCTTAATGGCATGTTCTTGTAGTTTATTTGATAGTTCATACTCATTTCTTGATAGATTGTACCTCTCCCTTAGTTTAATTAGTTTAATTTCATGTCATTAGCTTAGTTGTAGTGTAGTTGTTAAATGGGAGGACAATTCATGCTTGTTGTTGATGTTCCATACTTATGAAAGCAAGTAATATATATCTCTAACCTTGTGATGTGTTTGGATTGTGAGCTTAAAGAAATGATTAATGGCTTAATTTGATATGTTGTGCTATCCACCATGTTGCTTAGACAATATATGCTTAATTTGTCATTCATGCTTGTTGCAATAACCACACACACACACTTTGTTGCAATACATGTTTTTCCCCTCATTAATCATCCATTAAGGGTGTAGAAAAGTTATGCTTAGTGGTGATCTCTAAACCCCAAGATCTCTCTCTATCTTTTATTCTCTTTATTGCATTATTGTTTACTTTAGTTTAATTTGCATCTAGTTTAATTCAACCAACCAACCACCATTTTGATCACTCGACCTACTAACCCTAATCTTGATTCCTCAATTTAGTACGACCCTCAATCCCTTAGGACGATCCCTTTTCACTCATACTACATAGTATAGGTGTTAAGCGGTTTTTAAATTTAAATTATGATGCCCACTTGACACTAATTTCCAAACTTAAAGTGTTGTGCATTATTTTGTGCACACCCCCGGAAGTCATCAAGTAGTATTGTTTTTATTGGATAGTAAATTTTGGTTAAGGGGTCTTTGAGTTATGGGATTCCCAAGTTGTAACCATTGGAGAGTTATTAATTGAAATTATTATTTATTAGTTTTTCTTCAGCGTATTATTTATTTTTAATTTTATTTTTTAATCTGTGTTTGTTTAAATTACTTTAATTGTTTTGATATCCCTTAATTTTATGCACGGATTTGATCAACCCGTGTTCTGAAATTAAGGAGTATCACATTTCCAGTTCCAAAATTGTTTCCTGATGAGTGCTGAAAAGTGCGCATTTAAACCCCCTAAGCGAGAGTATTTTTGTCCATTCATCTATCTTTATTTACCCGTTTTAGTACTTATTTGTGTTTTTGTCTATTTCAGGTCAATAAAGTTAAAACGAGGTAAAAATGGTTTCTTAAGGCCTTTTTGGAGTCAAACTAAGTATTAGTGAGAATTTGGAGCAAAATGAGGCTGATTTGGAGCAAAAAGGAGGCTGATGCTGAAAGCTGAAAAGTGAGATCGATCGTGAGATCGATTAAAGAAAAGTGAGATTGATCGAACTCTGATCGATCGAACTTTTCTCTGATCAATCGAACTGTTCGCGAAAGTTATTAAAAAGCAGATCTGAATCTCATTTCGAACTAACTCGGGCTGTGCTTCAAGAAGACGATTCTAGAGCCGATTTCTCACATATTTGGGCTCTCAAAGCCTTGTATATAAGAGAGATTGAACCATTTTTGTTGAGAGATTCATATTTTAGATTGTAATTTCTATAGTTTCATTAGTTTTTCTCTCTAGAAAGTTAGAGATTAGGGTTAGAAGAGAAGAGGGAAGTGAAGGCACATCTCAAGAACACATCTCTAGATCCATTCACTCTCTCTCTCTCTAGAGCTTCAAAGAAGAAGAAGATAGAGCCACATTTGGAGCTTGCCCTTGAGGGTTTCATGACCACATCTACCTCCTCTATGATTGGCTAGATCTATACTTAGGGTTTGAATGAGCCCTAAGTCTTTTGTAATCTAAACCCTCGTATTTCTATTTTTGGGGATTTATATATATTGTTGTGATTAGTGTTCTAGCCTTGTGAATTTAATGAATCTTGGTATATTTCTATGATTTCTATGGTTTAATTCTTCCTATTAATTCTCTAGTTTATTTACATGTCTATGTGTGATTAAATTAGGAATTATTTCTTACATGTTTTATATGGATTAATTCTTTCTATTGATTCTCAATTTGATTACATATTGTCCTATGTGTGATTATTTGGGAATTAATCTCTACACTAGATTATCTATGTTGGTTGCATGTCTATGTGTGATTAATTAAGGATTTAGTGATGGCTAAGCATGGATTTTCATTGAATGGGTTTGTAGATTAATTTGATGGATTATTCTTATGCTTGATGGGTTGTTCTACAATTTAATTCATGCTTGTAGAAAGGTAGATAATCTATACTTGATTTGATATTCCATGGCTTATTATTGCAAATTCCATGATTCTCTAGAGTGGTGTGTGCTACAATTGTTAGTAGTTTGATGTGTCATGCTTAGATTTGATGGGTTGTTCTACACTTAGTTTATTTGTTGGTTAGGTAGACAATTCATACATGAATTTGATGGTCCATGCTTAATATTGCAATTGGTAGTAGCATTTTGTTCACAACAATGTACTCCCCATTAATGGAAAGCAAGTGGTTAATTACATGAGCTTAGTGGTGATTCCAACACCCTAAGACCTCTCTTCATATCTCTTAAATCCCTATCTCTCACTAGTTTATTTTAATTGCATTTTAATTTCCTTGCATCTTAGTTTAATCAATCAATCTCTATCTTTTGCAATCAACTGACACATTAGAGTTGAAGTTAAATTCCAACACGTATAATCTCTGTGGACGATCCCTACTCGCTATACTTCATTAGTTGTAGTAGTGGTTTTATAAATGTAAATTTGACTAGAAAGGCTTCCGAAACCACATTCATATTTTGACCTTGTGAAGCGACCTCTCACATTAAAAAGTCCGTTTTCTAAACGCATTGGAAAGGGGCTAGTCAAATTTTGGCGCCGTTGCCGGGGATTAACGGTTTTGTTGGAATTAAACTAGACAATAGTGTTCATTTGATTGCTTCTATTTTTATTTTATTTTCTATTGTATATTCATTTCTCATTCTTGATATTATTTGTCAATTAGGTACTTGACTACAAGAAAGGCAAACTTTGGAACTTGAAGCAATCATTGGAGCTTAAAGCTAACATTAAAATTTGAAGTGCTTAAGGACCTTTGTGAGCAATTCTTGGAACTCTTGTATTTTAATTGTGCACTTCTTTGCATGCTTGTGATAGCCCTTGTTGAGGCTCATTATATTGCTTTATTTTAAGTCCAAGCATCGGCCCGTGTAGAGGCCAAAAAATTTTCTTGCATTTGGATTTTAAATGTGAATGGAGTTATTGTTTGATCCAAGTTTGGGAGAAAATTACTTCCCCTCACCTTATGTACCTTCACCATATTTTGATCCTTATGAGTTTGAGTCCAATTCATTTGAACATGTATCATCTTATTATGGACTTGACTATTCTCATTATCCTCCTTGTGACTATTACCCTCCCCCACCATTTTATGATGAGCCAATTGCACCACCTTCTAGGTATTCACCCGGATTTGAAGAAAAAGTATTAACTTTACTTATAGTGTATATTTCACAAACTCCACTTATTAATTCTCATTTTCAAACTTTAGCCAAGTTTGAAGCTCAAGTTGAGCAAATTGCAAGTATTCTTTCTCGTCAAGAGGAAAAGGAAGAGGCAAATGAAAAAATGGCAAGAACTTCAATGTATATAGATAAGGATGAGGAGAGTGGGGAAGAAGTAGCAAGTGATCTAATGCCTAGCACTCTATCTTGTATAGAGGAGGAAGTGGCAAGTGAGTTAGTGGCTAATCCAATAGAGCATAACATGATTAATTAGGATTTTCCATGTTTTGATTATAATTTTATCCCGGCCATTGCTACTTTAGAGAGTGAGGGGATATTGACCACTATAAAGGTAGGAGAGGAGGAGGAGGAACTTGTTGAAGAGAACCTTCTTTCTATTATCTCCGAAGACCCTCTTGAGATATGCCTTTGCGAAATGTATAAAAATTGTGGTTTTGACCTTGAAAGCTCCAAAAATGAAATAAACTCTCTAATGGACTCCTTAGCTAACTTGGAAGGTGAAGAGATGGTTATTTTTTAGGAAGAGAAAAAGGATGAAGAGAAGGTGTTTCTTGATATTCCAAATGAGTCTTTGAAAGACTTTACCTTACCAAGTGCAAGGCCGCTCATCATTGATTTTATTTTCAAGACCGTGGATGAAAGGAACAATATCATCTCTTTCATTTCTTTTCAAGTCATTCGGTTGGAGGGTGATTTCATTGTCATAAGTGAGGCATCAAATGAGAAAAGTGAAAAGATGATCAATAAGGATGTCTCATATCCAGTTTTTTATTCTTTTGATTAGTGAGTTGACCCAACGTCTTGCTAGAGACGTTAAATACTCGTATTCGTAGAGTTTTCAACTCTATTTATCTCCCATTTCTATTTTACTTTCATTTCTTGCGGCATCTAGATATGTTCCATTAAACTTCATTGAAGATTTCATACATGTTAGGCATAAAAACTAGTTTTTCGTACAGTTTCAAAACTCTATGTCTCCCTCATTTCTTTTTATTTTTCATTTTTGTGTACATTCTTCTATCCATTTTTCAATCTCCATTCTTGTTACCATCATTGGGGCTTAGCATAGGATTTTCTGCACTTTCAGCTAAAAATTAGGCATTTAGTGCCCTGTTCGATCGATCACATGAGATTTTCGATCGATCGAACATCATCTCTGCATATTTTCATCTCTCTGTTCCATCATTCGAAAATTCTCTACATATTTCAGGTCTCTGTGTATCGTTCGAACTTTTTCTCCGATCGATCCAAGTACTCTTTGATCGATCCAATTTCCATTTCGATCGATCGGAGTTCTATACTTAAAAAAAATAAAAAATAAAAAATAAAAAAAATTTGAAGCTCTGAAAATCATCTCTGTGTATCGTTCGAAACTTTCTACAGGTTTTCAGGTCTTGGATCGATCGAAGTTCGATCAATCATTCTTGGATCGATCACAGCTTTGCTCCCTTTGACTTTTTGACTTTTTCCTTTTTGTATTTTTATTTTATTTTATTTTTCATTTTATTTTACTTTTGTCATTTTCTTTTATTTAATTTAGTTACTTTTCTCTCTTGAAAAAAAAAAAAAAAAATTATTTCTTTTCATTCTTTATTCCCTTGCATTTTTACTTCTTGCATTTTTATTTATTTTCTTTTTTATTTTTATTTGTGTACATACTTGTTTTGTCTAAAAAAAATTAAAAAAATTTTAATTAATAATAAAAAAATAATTATTTTTCAAAGTAGCATTTCGTCTTCCTAAAGACGTTAAACTTAGCACCTATTTTGTATATTACTTGCATTTTTCGTTTTTCTTTGTGTGTTTCAAAAAATAAATAAATAAATAAAAAATAATAATAATAATAATAATAAAAGAAAAAAAAATGAGAGTTTCTATTTTTCATTTTTCTTTATTTTGTTCTTGCATACTTTCTTACTTTTTGTTTTTCATTTCTTGCATTGTACATATTCTTTCATTACATTTTACCTTCTTTATTTTTCTTTTTCATTTTGTTTACACATCTTTGCATTTTATTTCTTGCATTTTGTATATACTTGCTTTCATTAAATGAAAAATATAAAAAAAATTCATCATTGTGCCATTATGTGTAGTCATGCTACTTTCATATTTTCTATTGGGTTAGATCTCATATCTCTCTTTCATCTTATGCTATATTGCCTTAAAATTGCATGCCTTGGTTATTCTTATCCCATTTGATATTTGATGTGAGTTTGCTAGTGTGGTTATTCAAATAGGTTGTTGATTCCAAGTTTGGGAGAGACCCTTTTCAGATTGGATCATTGCCGGGCTTTATGATTTCACCACCATGGTATATTCTTTCCATCTTTTTCATTGTTCTCATTGCACATTGAGGACAATGTGCAGTTTAAGTTTGGGGGTAAGGTGACTTTGTTCCATTCTACTTAAAGTTGAGTTTTAAATGCATGGTTGAAATTGGAGATCCATGTTAGCAATGATTTTGATCTTTTGAGGACTATATTACTTAAAATTTAAAAATTGCTTGACTTGAGAGTCCTATACTCCTTGTATGCCTTGTGGAAGCCATTTAGGAGTAAATTTTTCGAAAGATTGATATATTGCTTGCACTTGTGGTCCACATCATCCTGATTTTGTAATTGTTTTGAAATTCACTCTAGGATTCTACACTAGCACAGGCGCACACTAGCATTCATTTGTGGGGTACATGCTTTGTTGATTATTGATTTGATTATATCCCAATTGAGCTAGTAGTGCATTGAAAGTTTTCATTCTTGATAAAAGTGGATAACAAACCATTTTCATTGAGTAGCCGGGATTCTAGCCTCATCAAGT